ACACCCCACCCGCACCCCACCCCACCCAGGGAACCCCATGCAGCCTGTCAATGCCCATCTCTTAACTAGAACAAGCCGCCAACAATCAACGGACATGAGAAAACTCCCCAACGTGAAATACAGGATTATAGGGAGAGGGGTGGGGAAACAGAGACTATGCTGAAGAAACACGCAGAGAGAAGAAAGTGAATGAAAAAGCTCCTAGTAATATTCTCAGGATAAGAGAAGATGCTGTATCCGTGCCTCAAGAACAGAATTCTGTTTTTAAGGAAAGAGGAAGGGGCCTGGCCAGGGTGGCTCAGCTGGTTGGAGCTTCATCTCGCGTCACACACCAAAAGGTTTCACGCCCCAGTCCCGGTGGGGTGAGTACAGGAGGTGACCGGCTGATGTTTCTCTCTCTCTCTCTCAAATCAATAAAAACATATCCTTGCGTGAGGATTAATTTTTTTAAAAAAAAGAGGGAGAAAGGCCCAGAAAACAATTCCAAGAGCTCTTAATAAACAGCAGCCCACAAATGAAAATGTAGCAGGAGAGTTGGAAGATAAGATTGAGAATATTGCCCAGAAACATGGAAGATGACAGATGGAAAGTGGGAGCGGGGTGGGGGTAGAAAAATTAAAGAATAAATTCATGAAGTCTAACATCCAACTAAGGGGTTCAGGGAGGGGCGGGGGAGAGAGAAACAATTCAAGGAAAGTTCCCAGAATTACAAGACATTAGCTCAACGGCGAGGACCCACCAAGCACGCTGGAGGAAAACAGATCTAGAGCAAGGAAAAGTTTCAGAACACAAAAGACAAAGACAAGAGGCTCCCCGGCTCCCAGGAGGGGAAGGTGTTATCTGCAAAGCATCAAGAATGAGAGTGACACGAAACTGCGATGGCGACATCAGACGTTGCAACACAATCCGGCGATGCCTCCCGACTTTGAGACAATTACTTCCAACCTAGAATTCCGGGCCCAGCCACGGCCTCACTGAATTGCGGGGGTAGAATAAAGCTCTCTTTTGGCAAGGCAAGGTCTCAAGAAAATCAACCCCTCACGACACCCGTGCTCAGGCGGCTACTGGAAGATAAGCTCCACCAGGAGGCGCTAAACCAAGAAAGAAGAGGACCCGAAAGCCACCCAACAGAGGCTCCTACCCAAGAAAGAAGCCAAGGAGTCCCAGGGTGGTGGCCAAGGGCCCTCCCAAGACACAGCCAGGCACCAGCTGCCAAGAGCAGCCACCAGGCCAGATGGAAGTAGGTCAGAGGCCCTGGGAGGGATGTCTTAAGATGTCTAGAGTGATAGTGAACCTGACGTGCGGGCTGCTCTGTGAAAGAAAAGGGAAGAAAGAAAGGGGAATGATAGCAAACAATGTAGCGCAGCTCTGACCCGCATTTGCACCGGCACAGCGCTGTGGACACTCATTGTGAAGCCAACAAACCCCATGACGCCTGTACCTGGCGGGTGTGGGGATGGGCCGTGTGCATGGGCTAGGACAGGGGTAGGAGGGGAGCCAAGAGAGACTGTTAAACACGTAAAACACTCAAGGCATGTCAGTGAAAGCAATGTCACACGGAGTAATAGAAATAACCACCAAAGGAAAAGCC